GACCTGCTTTTTGCAGCAAGGGTGAGTAGATAGGAGAAGAAAACCTAGGAAATGGAATGAAATGTTCTGGGAAAGAATTTAGCTGGCAGAAAAGAAGCTAAACATGAAGACTGCACATTGCAAAATGTTGTTGCAAGTCATGAATGTGTGTCTGTGTGCATTTAACATACAGAAGTGGGGAAAATCATTAAAAAATGAAGTCAACCAATGCAGGTTAAAATTAGCCAGTTATGCTATGTCTTTTCAGTTATTTAAAAGGGATTTCGGAGTTGGGGGATGTCATTTCAAGACAAGTGTAAGCAGTTTGGTCATTCCACGTGGACCAATAGAAGTGAATGATTAGTTCTGTGTTTGCTCAGCTCTGCACAGCAAGCAGTAGTAATATTGGCCTTCTGATGTCTGCCCCAAATACAATTTCTGTCCATGACACAGTTTACTTACATGCAAATTGGAAGCCAACAAAGTACACAGAGAATTTTATTGCTTTTGGGAAGGGGGGATTGTGAATGTGTGTTTCATGTGTGTGTGTGTTTTTAATGGGAAACAAAACCCAAATCCTGTAGGAAATAAAGCAACATAACCAAAGGGGAAATGTTGGCAGAAAATGGAAAGACGGCATGTTACGCCTTATATTACATGTCCTTGTTCAAAGCTGCTATGAAAGAAAATCAAAGGATTTATTTAAAGCAAGACAGTACCCCCATGTGGTTCACCGAAGGACTGCTAACTGATATGGATTGGGGGGGGAAACCCTCTACTGCAGAAGAAATTACATAATGCGATAAAAGATTTGATAATCTTGAAATTTGGGGTCCCTCCATATATTTGTGTTTTACTCAAGGCAGAAGTTTCCAAGAGCTTAAGAAGAATGGAGAAATGCATAGTGTGTTAACACCTAGTGTAAGTTTTTATCATGGGAAATAAGATCCTTAGCATGTGGTTATAATAGGTATACCTCAATTAATAAAGTAGATGCCTTCCTAGGAATTACTTCTCCAACAGAAAATGTGGTACTGGAAGCAGAAATAACAGGGAAAGAATAGAGATAGGTTTCTATGTTGCATAAGAGCAGTTCATGTTTTGGCAGCTTTTTAAAAAAAATATTCAAAACTAACAATACGTGCATGTGAATGGGAACAATTAGGGGTGCATCTGTACTGTATAAATAATACGGTTTGACACCACTTTAAATGCTGTAGCGCCATCCTATGGAATCTTAGCATCTATAGTTTTGTATGGTCTTTAGCCTTCCTCTGCCAAAACTGCAACTCCCAGGATTCTATAGCATGGAGCCAGGGCAGTTAAAGTGGTGTCAAACTGCATTATTTCTACAGTGCAGATGCACCCTAAAATAAACAAAAGAAAATAAATAAAACATATGGAGAGAGCATTCTCCATATAGTCCGACGTCTCCACCTCTTTGTGGTATGGAAGTGACACTAGACTTTTCAAGGGTATGCCAGGAGAACATAAGCTCTGAAAGTTTCTACCAGGTTGTTGACTGAAGACCAGCCTCACCATCAGATGACAAATTAGACATATAATAACTAGGAATGAAATAGCTGTAGACCTCATGGATGGAGATACTACCTGCAATGATGGACTCATAGATCTCCAAGGTATATATGGCATGGAATATCTTTCAAGCCTTTGTCTCCACTTGCAAATAAAGCATCCTTGGGAATTTGAAATCTTTATGTATTTTCCTTTAACATTTTCTAAATTAAACGAGTCCATTTTGATGTGAGTGAAATGGCTTTGAAATGATAATCTTTGTTTTAAACCTCCCTAGAGAACTTGAACAAAATCCACTAAGGCAATTGAAGAAATTTACGACTGGTAGAAGGAAATTCCTACTGAATTCCTAGGAAATTGGCATGATGCCTAAATATCAAAATCTTAATGTCAATATATATATTATACATATTGTTTTTTGTACACAATGCTAGAAATCAAACTAGTAATCCAATAAATATTTATGCAGTGTGTGACAGGGATAACTGAGATTCTCATTGAGAAAAACTGATGTGAGTTTGGATTCTAAAGAGAAATTCACACATTTTGTGTCCTTTCCACAAGTTTCTACTTGGGCAATAATGACAGATGTCTACCAGAATGTCATTAATGTTATTGCTATCTTTATTAGTATATTTTTACCAAGAGAGACAAGATGTTATTCTTTCTAATCTCAAATACGATGTTTAATAGGCTCATTCCAGACACGTCTCCACTGGTAGCTATTTTATTACATTTGCTGCAGATGATGCAATACTCAATTATGTGCCTTGTTATTGCTGCTGCAGCCTTTGCTTTAGAAGCTAAAACCACCATTTACTGGAATACGCTGATTTTATGACTCATATACTCTCCAACATGGCTTAAAAAAATATTCACAGCCATATCCCTTACAAACAGAATTCACTGGTGTATCATGATAAACTCTTCCAGCCTTTAGAGGTGGCAGTGTTTGTATCTAAATAATTAGAGAAATGCTGGCATACTGTCTAGTATATATATCCAAACAAGTGCTCACTGATATGGTGTTATGAAAACATTCTGAACTCTCAACCACCACTGTCTAAATGTGTGACATGAAAGTTAGGAAGACAACAAAATGAAGGCATATAAAGATCACTTTATTTCATTAATGTGTGGTTATGGGATTCAAATAAACTATTGCAATAAGATGGATGCAAAGAGCAGAAGACTTATTGGGTACCTTTATATTGATATTGATATTGAGCCTTTCTCCCAATATGGGACCCATGGCACCTTAAAATCTGAGTTAAAATAAAATATAGATAAAACAATATATAATACATAAGTTGTTGCTATTACTATATTTATAATAATATTTATATTTTATATTTATAGTAATAATAAGCAAGCATGGTGTAGTGTTTTGAGCATTGGACTACAATTCTGGAAATCAGGGTTCAAGTCTCCACTTGGCCAAGGAAACTCATTGGGTGACCCACATATTTTCATGCCCCAGAAAACCCCATGATAGGTTTGCTTTAGGATTGCCATAAGTCAGAGATAACTTGAAGGCATACAACAGCAACAGCAAAAACAACAAGAACAACCACTACTCCCGTTTGGGACTTGAAACAGCTTAAACTAATTAAAACTAACATAGTTAAAATTCACAAAATACAAAAGTTGAAAATCAGTTAAAACCTCATAAAACTGAAACCACTTGAAACAAATAACAGTCCATCACATTATACAAGGTCTGTTTAACCTGAAAAATCCATTGTCAAAGGTCTGCAAGAAGACAAAGGGTTTCATCTGCTTGCAGAAAGATAATAGGGACACTCTGGGAAGGTTACTGCAAAGCCTAGGGGCAGCCACCAAGAAAGTCCTTTCTCCCATGTTCCCATCAAATATACTTGTGAGGGTGGTGGGACAGAGAGAAGGACCTCCCCAGAAAATCTCAGAACATGGACAGGTTCATACAGTAGAGTTGTTGTTAACTGCTTTTGAGTCAACCTTGACTCATGGTGACCCTTTGGGTGAGACATCTCCAAGACCCCCTGTCCCCCACTGTTCTGCTCAGGTCCTGCAGGCTTAGGCCCATAGCCTCTCTGATCTGGCATGTGGTTGCCCTCTCCTTCTACTGTGCTCTACCTTTCCAAACATTATTGTCTTTTCCAATGATTCATGCCTTCTGTCATGTTTACCTCTTCTGAGGACAGCACCACAAAGAAATAGCAAAGGAGTAGTCAAAAGTCCATTCCAAACATCACACAACAAGAGTCCACTACTTAACAGCAAAGGGAGAAGCAGAAGCGTAGTCACAAGGCAGTTCCAGAGGTCAGAAAACAGGAGTCTGATAGCAGAGAACAGGATACACAGCAACTAGGGAGGCTACGAGACTGATTGTCAGCTGCAGGGAATCATATCAGCTGGAGTCTTTTTAAAAACATGCCTCAGTTGATTGCAATTAGGTCTCCTTTTGGCTTCTAGTCTAGATGAACACCTCAAGGATGCCTTGGCTTGTCTTCCCTCCACAGGTCCTAGTATTGGCAGCATAGAGTCTCTCTCTCTCTTCAGCCTCCTGTGTCTCCTCTGAGACTACAGAGCCTCCAGGTAACCCCAGATCTGTCTCCTCCTCAGGCTCAGAGTCTGCCTCTGCCTCTAAAGCAAAGTCAGTCCCAGGGCAATCCATGGCACCTTCTCATGTTGTGGCCAAAGTATGACAGATTCAGTTTAATCATCCTGGCTTCCAGGGAGAGTTTGGGCTTGATTTGTTCTAGGACTCATTTGTTTGGTTTGTACTGTAGAGAACAATCCTTCAAATAACCTGGACCTGAGCCATACAGGGCTTTATAGGTCATCATCAGCACATTGAATTCTCAGAAACTCAAAAGTTAAAGAAAGATTAGACCAGCAATCTAATTAAAACATTTAAAACCCATTAAAAGATAAAAAGTATAGCACAGCCCCATTAAAAGATCATTCAGCCAGCTCCAATAAATAATGGAAGACCTGTTTAAATCAAAAGGTCCTTGCCAGCTGGTGAAAGGAGAGCAGAAAGAGATCTAGGCTAACCTCTGGTGGAAGTATCCTTGAGACTAACTGAAAGAAAGAATGTAGAGAGATCTTGTAAAACCTTTGAGAATAACTGAAAGAAATAAGTTGGCAGCATGAGCTTTTGTAGACTTCAGTCTACTTCTTCAGATGCATATAGTGGAGATTCCACTATATATAGGACTATATAGTGAGGAGAGCTAGAGGCTTTGCAGAAGAGGGGAAAAATACCAACCCCTGTAGCACCTAAAATAGGATATCCACATGCACAAGGGACACT